TTACCAGACGCTGGCTCCTACGAAGAAGGGCCGTGTTTGACAATTTCTCTCTGCCGAGAATGTCAACTCCTAATGCTCACTTGTGCACCGTGGCGCAGCATTCCGTCCTGGTGGGTGGATCGGATGTCTGGGGCACCTCTTTTTGGAAGCAAATTTTAAGGGACCCCCCCACACACACCCACACACCCACACACACACCCAGGTCCTTCAAGGAACCAAGATAGTCTCTGGCCAGAGCCAGCACGGTCAGATCCCAACGCAACCCACTTTGCAGCAGATGTCCCTCKGTCCCTCCGTTCCTTTTTCCTGGTTGCATACTAATCCACAGCCTAGCTGAAGGGCGCCCTGTGTCTCTACTCCTCCACGGACGGACGGACATTGGGAACGGTCCCTCCCTTTGCCTACTGGGCGCTCCTGTGAGCAGGGCCACCCCCTCCCTGTTTTGCATGGCATTCACCCAAAGCACACAAAGGTGGTGCCCTCTGCATCTCCAGAATCCCAGGCCCCTGCCTGTGGAGATTCCTTCCTCCTGGGGCCAGCTGCATGCACTCCACCCCCCGGGGTGTGCAGGGTGCCCCTGAGGTGTGCCCAACCCCTGCAGAGGAAGGCACCCGAGAGGGAGGTGACAAAGATCAGGGTCTGCGGTGCAGCCTGGCGGAGGGCGTGGTGCGTCCTCTTCCCRTGCGGGTGCATCCGGGGCTCGGGGTAAACAACTCGGTGCAGGGGAGGGAGCGGTTAACTGGGTCACTAGGAAACCGCCTCCCGGGTACCGCGGGGCTCCTGCAGGACCCGAGCTGGGGCCACCACGGCGAAGCCCCGGGGTCAGCTTGGCTCGGGGAGAGGCCGCTTGGAACCGGGGCTGTGCGCTGCGGCGTCCTGGCGCGCGCCGAGGTCGGCGTCTTGGTGAAATGATTGGCAGCCGGCACCGGGCTCCTGCCTTGGCTCCCGCAGGCTCCGAGCCACCTCGGACGGACGGACATTGGGAACGGTGGCCCCGGGCTCCGTGTCCTGCCACCTCCCTGGGGGTGAATCGGTCCCCTTTCCCCTGATGCCTGGGGACGGACCCTGGGTTCTCAGGATCAGGTCTTGGTGCACGATTGGTGCAGCCCCCGCAGCCCCCAGCTCTGGGCTGCAGCCCCAGGTCCAGGAGGGGCAGCCCGGGGTCAGCTGAGGCTTCTTCCTGCTCCCAGAGGGCGCCTTCTCCTGGGTCCTCCAWGGTGGACGGGCAGGGGGCTCTCGGGTCTCTCGGAGAAGGACCCCCGTCCCCRGCCCTATTYTGCATTTTATTTAGAGACAGGGTCTCCCYGAGTTGCTTAGCACCTGGCTGTTGCTGAGGYCGGCCTCCAACTTGCAATCCTCCTGCCTCAGCCTCCAGAGTCTCTGGGATAATAGGCGTGTGTCACCGTGCCCAGAAATAARAGGACCTCAATGACGATGTCCATACTGGGAAGAGAAGGTGACACCCACCCAGCGTCTCAGCTTCATCTTGGGGTTGAGACAGAGGAGGAACTGGGCAGGCGTGGACAGGTCAGCGTCTCTAAGTGTCTGGGACACCCTGTGGTCTAGGGGCTCCAAGGTCTGGCCCTGGGAGGAGGTGGCTCTGGGGAGGTCCCTATGGCTTGAGGGGGGATTTGCATGTGCTCAGGAGGCTCCTCCACCAGACCCGGGGGTCCCCGAGGGGGGCCGTGAGGACATCTTCTAGGTCCACTCCAGCCRTCTCAAAGGAGAGGCTGTGGATCTTGCCTCAGTCTTGAAGGCCGCTGGGATCCCCTGGGGAACCCGCCTAGGTGTCCCACAACCCATGAACGAACGGATGAAGAAAAAGGTGGTCTGCGTATACAGTGGAATATTACTCAGCCATGAAGAAGAACGRAAGGATGGCATCTGCYGGTAAAATGGATGGAGCTGGAGAMGATCGTGCTCAGCGACATCAGCCAATCCTGTCCACCTGGCTGACCCGTGTCCATCAGCTGCAGGCCCCAACAGAAGACTGGACGCTGCGCCYGCTCAGAGGTGGACCTTTCCCTTGAGCTAGGAACCTTGGGTTCAGCTTGGACTGTCAATAAGGGCCCCAGTCTGTCCCATGCCATGTTACAATTTTTTTTTTTTTTTGCTAGTGACTTTGCTGTTGGGAGCCCCTGCTGACCCCGTGCCTAGGACGGTCCGGCACCGTGTACCCTCTAAGGTGCCCCTTGACGAACCGAGTCAGCATCGTGCACCCAGCAGCAAGACCGGGTGGTGGTGGGTGGAGGGACCCACCAGGGGCTCAGGAGGGCCTCAGGGTATCCACGCCCCCTCCCAGCTGTCCCCAGCGCCCAGGGGGGGGGGGATTTGCAGAGCATGACGTCACAGCGATGCACCACCCCCGGGGAATGCCCCGATTGAGCCATCTGCAGCGCATGTGGGTGACACGGCCCAGGGGGCTGGTACCTGAGATGCCACCCGAGGGGGGTCCTGAGATCGCCAGGTCCCGGGCACAGTGTGAAGCCCGTGTCCAGGAGCAACGGGTGGCAGGCAGTAGTGACCCCAGGCCATTSACATGTGACATTCTAGCTTCCTACGACACAGATGTCGCAATGCGCGCAGCTGCTCAGCCCGAGAGGAAATACGCTCTGCTCACAAATAGACATATTTTTTTTTACTTAAAAAATAAATTTAAAAAAACGGAAATTGGTCCCAACTGGGACGATGAGTCCACCTTAGAAAAATAAAATGCTTCCTCCTTTCCCTGGTGGCGAGGTCCAAGGCGCGGGTGGAGGCTGCAGGGGGCCCCCTATCCTCCGTGGAGGCCGAGGATCTGCGGAGGCAGGCGTGGCAGCACGGGCGCGCCGCCGGCGGCTTCTCGGTACCAGCGAGCGAGCGAGTGCAGTGTGACAGGAAATTTCAACATAGGTTTCCTTTTCCACCTCCACTCGCAAGTCCCCAACTGCGGTCGCCAGGGCTCGCTGTCGCTGGGAGGTGGACTCTGCAGAATTTGCATTTGGAGAGGGCGGCGCGGGACGCATGGCCGGCGAGTGCACTGCAAAAGCCGGCGGTGCACGGGGCTGCTGCTGCCACCACCGAGACCCAGGGGCGCTTCCCGGGGACCTGGGTGCCGACACGGGCTGACTCAGAGGCACTTGGGGGATTCTGGCTTGGGGAGTCCAGCGCTCCGAGGCTGGTTGGGGAAGCTGTCTCGGATCCTACTTTGTCCCCTCCCTGAGACCCTGCCGCAGGGAGCTGTGACTCTGGCCGCCACAGGTGCAGGTAAGCCGCCGTGTCCTCACTTGTGCGCCTCGGCAGGGGACAGAGAGCGAGGGTCCAGCTGGGAATTGGGGGCACAGATGAGAAGAGATCCAAAACCTCATCAGGGCGCTTTGCAAGGTCGCAGCCCGAGTTCCCCAGTTATTCTGCTTAGAGGGGACCCCCAGAGAGGGTCCTGAGAGAGGTGGCCCCTGGGTCCCCAGCCCGTGGCGGGAGCCGGCTCTCCAAAACCGGGTTCCCTGCGAGTTTTAATCAGAGCAAAGAACGCGCGCGCGCGCCAAGCCCAACCGAATCCACTGAGCTTCCGAAACGGGAGTTTCAGGCGACACAAACAAGACACCCCCCCCCCAGCCCCGCGCCGCCGTTGGGGTCACATTCTATAAAGAGAAACCACAGTCCCGAGGTTCTGTTTTTAAAGTCAAAAAGGGGATTTTTTGGGGGGGGGGGTTTCTTTTCTTCTTCTTCTTCTTTTTGTTTTGCTCCGCGCGCTCCTGTGTGTGTGTGTGTGGTTTGGTGCCCTGTGAGCAATCTTAAGAGGGGTCCTCGGTCAAAGGCTCCCGAGTGAGTGGTGCGGAAGCCACAGGGTGGGGGTGTGTGTGGGGGGGGGGGAAGGGCACCCTGAGCGATCCTGTCAATCTCTCTGTCCTCGTCGCCTTTAGCAGTGGGACCCAGCCGCTCAGGAGGCTGGGGCAGGAGGATCACACGTTGGAGGCCAGCCTCCGCCCGCCCGTAACGTAGTGATAGTCTCATCAGCTGAGCGAGACTTGGTCTGCGTCCCAAGGAAAAGAGATCAGTAGGTCAGGGAGGCGACTTGTTGCCCTAGGGAAAGGACCCAGGTGTCCCCTAAGGGATGAGGAACCGGGGTGCCCAGACAGAATCCCAGGGGCTGACTGCTGGCCTCGCACTTGGCTTGGAGYGGGCGGTGCGAGACCTCAGCTTCATTGTTTCAGAACCTTTCCGCTTCGGGAGGAGGGTGCTGGCTGGTGGACACCCGCTGGACAAACCCCCAGTGGACAGAGCTCTGGATGCGCCCGGGGAGGCACCCAGGGGRCCCACGTGACCCCAAGGGTGCAATACGGCGCTGGGTCCAGGTTTCTGRCTGCTTCCTGCCCCGCCGTCCAGGGGAGTCCAGGGGACTGAGAGTCCCCGGGGAGGGAAGAGGGACAGCCTGACCCTCTGGGGACCACCCACCCGCACGCACGGGGCCCTACCCAAGTTCTGACTGTGTCCTAGGGTTGGTGGGCGGAGAAGCTAGCAACCGAGCTGAGGGAGGGTGGCCCTGTCCTCCGAGACCCGTGTCTGCTCCTGTCCCCTTCCCCCGGCGCTCCCCCCAGGGCGCGCCCCTCCGCGTTGAGCTCGAGGGTCAAGAAGCCCCTCCCCATGCACGGCCTGTGCCGCTCCAGCGCCCCCTCCCCAGGCGCGCCCCCTCCCCAAGCACCACCTTCCCAGGGGCGCCCTGCCCCTCGCAACCCCTCCCCAAGTGACCCCCTTCCCAGGCGCGCCCCCTCCCCAAGCTCCACCTCCCCAGGGGCGCCCTTCCCCCAGCAACCCCCTCCCCAGGTGACCCCGTCCCCCCTCCCCAGGCGCGTCCCTTCCTGGAGCTCCGCCCACCTCCCCAGGTGACCCCCTCCCCAGGGCGCCCCGTCCCTAGGCCGCCCCTCGCGCACCAGCCCTCGGGGTCCTGCCCAGCTCCTCTCGGCCCCTGGTGGCGGCGGKCGGCGCTGCAGGTGGCACGAGGAGCCCAGCCCCCACCTGCTCCTGCTTCTGCGTCCCCTGCTGAGGGTTTGTCCAGGGCCCCTGGGCAGCGCAGAGAGCCCTGCCCCCCCTCCCAGGGTCGCTGCCCACCGCGAGGGGGCTCCGAGCTTCCCCGGTGTCCTCGTTGGACACCCGGGCGGGTCCGCACGTGCTCCCAGGACAGGAGGGGAAGGAGGGGCTGGCCAAGCRCAGAGGTCCAGCAGGCTAGCAAGACAGAGGTGGGCTTCAGGCCAGGAGGGTTCAGGGTGAGCAGGGATCACAGAGGGCTTCCGGGGAGCCCTGGGGCTTGCTGGGCCAGGTAGGAAGTGGACGGAGAGGACCACTGGGGGACAGTGCATGCGTGTCCCAGATGGACCATTGCCACGTGCAGATGCCAAGGTGCCCCCATCCGGTGGGTGAGACTCCATCAGCAAATCCCCAACATTGATGCTGGAAGATTGTAGCTGGAAACGGATGCCCCTGGAGCCGCGCTGTGGGAATGACATGGCAGAGTCACCAGGGTGGTGGGGACAGGGGGATATGGCCAGGGGCCTCTCAGGACTTGGACCCCGGAGAAGACGGACATCATGGGGTGGAATCTTGGCAAGGACCGGAGGTGGGGCTGGGGGAGTGAGTGGGTCACGGGGCTCTGACCTCACTCAGGATTAATCCACTGATCAATCCACAGCCCAGTGGCCTGCTGGGGAGGGGGAGCCGGGGAGAGGGGGGCCTAACTGGAGGGACTGTGTCCTGGGGGAACGTGCCCTCGAGGACTATATCCTGTCCTCGGCCGTT